TCTTCAGCAACTTTGATAATTGTGATTCTATTTTATTGAGAGTCTCAAAGTTGTGCGCAACTATATGTTACAAGGTAATGATTTATCTTACTTTTAAATTTCATTTTGATGTTTACAAATTGGTAAATAACTCAGTATATAAAGAAGCTTGTATGATATATACTGAATGGAACATGCACGAACTTGCTGCGCTTTGTTACAACAAGGCTAAAATATTTCGTGAGGCGGGCGAGTATTATGAAAAGGCAAAGAAGTACACTGACGCTGTTGTTGCCTATAAAAGTAGTAGTCGTTATGAAGAATTAATCGATTTATGCAAACGTAAGTTTACTGGTGTGATTATATAAAATTTGCAATTTATGCCGCTACAAAATTGATGAGAAGATGTTACCCGACTTGTTAACATTTATTATCGTCGGGAGAACAACAAGACGATGAGCAAGAAGGCCCTCTTCATATTCCAACACAAGAGAAGCGAAATGAGCTCCTAAATGACCATACACCAGAAGAGTTTCTGGAGGTCTGTGAGAAGAATGGCCAATTTCGCGAAGCTGCTGAATATCTGCGCTCGCGAGGGAAGTTTAAAGAGGCTGCGGATATGTTCATTCGTTCGGGCTTTAAGGATGAAGATGTAATCGAAGCATTACAATGCATTTTACATTTAAGCATGGTAAATGTTCTGAAAAGCACAATGACAGATACCATTAGTCCAAGTAACATATAGTTGCGCACAACTTTGAGACTCTCAATAAAATAGAATCACAATTATCAAAGTTGCTGAAGAGGTCTGAGAGTAGAAGGTCCTGATGGAAGAATTTCGGTTATACAACGCTTATTTAGAAGAAAGATCTTAGTAAAGTTCACAAATGCATGCAATTTTTCAGAACACGAGAGGAGTTTGTTGCCGAATTTCGTGTAATAAACAAATGGCTGAAGATTCCCCAAAGATCTGATATCCAGTTTGAGTTCTGGCATAAACGATTGCAGTGTTTGCAGAGGTTGTGCAAAGATTTAACCTTTCCTTATATAGATCCGCGTCGAAATGTCAACAATTCGATGATCCGCAAGGAATTCGAGGACATTTTTGTTGTGAGCAAGGTAAAGGATCGTGAGCAGTAACGGAAAAGTTCTTTTGGCAACCCGTTTGTTCATCTTATTTACGAGGGTACGGCAGAAAGTATGGACTACTTACAAGTATATGTATATGATGTGGAAGTTGTGTACCAGGCGATCTCACAATTACTTGTATCATATATATATACGAGCTCCTCTTGAAAGTCAATCAGATATTCCGTTCGTAAAGTAGTTATATCTGTACACACTTGCATGTCTCCAATATACCGTGAAGCGACAGTGGGATTTATTATACCATCATCGACTTCTTAAGGATGAGCAAAGTAAAGAGGTTATTCCTGCAGAAAGGTTGTGGACTGAAAGACTGATTAATTATCATATTCGCTATCAGTCACCGCAGACAAGTACCCTGAGGTCACTAATATGGTGCTTGCTAATCATACGTGGTATGGATTAATCGAAACCGCTGATAAGATATGGCTAGGGATATTATCCAATGAACCCAGCAACTTCGCGGTCATGTTAAAATGTATGTTCGTTTTTCAGCAGTTGCGGGAAGAATTTTGCATTGATAAGTTTGGGAGATGTCAAAAACAATAGAGATTTCACACCCTAATGATTTACCCGTCGGTTATGATTGCCAAGGATATCTTAAAGAGATCCCAGTTGAAAAGCGGCTTTCGTCATTCTTTTCTTGGCTCCATCTAATCATTATAATGCGATCATGCACATAATAAAAATTATTCAATACGCTATCAATCACGTTGAAAGAGTCAACATAATTACGTCTGATGCCTTTTCAGACCTTGTACCTCTTGTGGAATTCAAAAAGTAATTGGTTTTCGCGATCCTTCTGGATATTGCTAATTTGCCTACCTCGGGCTTATCTCGTTAATTATTTTGACGCATTTACTACGGCGCCACTCATTCCGGATTGTCGACGACCTACGACAAGGAGAACTATAATGCTGCACTTTAAATGGCCATTTCTAATAAAAAAGATAAGAATTATAAATGCACTAAAATGCATTGTAGATTAAATTCGTATTATTGAGATATAATTTTACCATAATATATCGGATTGAATAACTTCGTCGCTAAAGTTACGTCAAAAAAGACGTTTAACATAAAATACAGTATTATAAGGGTTCATATTAATCTAGATTTTTTGCAGCATCACCGATAAGACGTTCTGTTTCGGTGAGAAGGTGTCGTACGATGACCCTGGTCATTATAATAATTTCAATTCGATCGATTTTCCAAACTCCAACGAGGAATATGTCGAACCCAGATCGATTCCAACTAAATTTAACAAGATAAAAATTTTAAATTTGTGAATTTCCGTATTCAATTAATGGGAGGATTTTTTATGCATTTATATCAGTATTTCCATTCTGAATTATAATAAATATATAGTTAAAATTATAGAAAGAAGGTTTTATTTTCATTCAATATACTGGATACAGGACCCATATGATGTAGAATGGATAAATATGGAACTTGTGACTGAATAAGACCACTTACTGAATTTAAAACCTGTTTTGTTGTTCATAATGGTTGGAGGAAATTAAGAAAATCCGGCAAAAAACCCACTTTAATCAGAGATTAAATCTCAGGTTTTTTGAACCTTATAAATGGTTAGGAAAAATTCAACGAAGTATTTTTTTACAACGGTTATAAAATAGTTGATAATGTCTTATTATTTATAATTTCTTTTCTTTAATTACTTTGCATATCGTGTCCAACTTGAAAATATATTATTAAAATTAAATTTTATTAATTTATAAAACTTTATTATATTTTTTTAATTATTAAAGTTATTTAAATCTGTTAAATTTAAAATAAATTATTTTTAGTATTTTAAATAAAATTATTATTTAATTATTATTTTTAACAAATGAACAAGTTAATAATAATTTCGTCAAATATATTTGTTTTTTTCCCACTTATATAATATTCACACCCAACCCGCTATTAATTCTAAATAAATCTACAAGTATTTAAATCATCGTTTACGCGTAATCATACCTTTTACATCTGGATTTATCCCACCCATTCAATAACCTCATGTTGTCACTGTGGAATTCTTCAACTCGGGATGGTCACATTATTAAGTCTCTAATCGTAATTTTTAACTGTGGTCTACTGCAGTCAAGACATTAGGATCCGCCTAACTCTTAACTTTACCAAATTTACTCGTTGGACTTAAACAAATCTGTCAAGCATGAAGACTTGAAAGACGAGATTATGAACAATTTAATTAAAGAATTCAGATGACAAACTCAATTACAAATAATATGTAAGGATCACGTCAGACTATATGAAGACATGAAGAGGCAGAAAGATATAAGTTTAAATGATTCCTTTATTAATATTGAAACTCATATTTGCAAGAGAGTTAATTTACAACATAAGCAAAATTCTATCTATTTATACAAAATTTCTTTTATCACGGCTAACTAATTACTATGCTATAAACTAACTAATTTAGTAAAATAAAATATAAGTAAAATAAATATATTGAGAATAATAAAAATACGTAAAATAATAAAAATATAAAATATAATAAAAATAACAATAAAATTTAGAATATTAATAATAAGTATAATACTAAATATTCTTAGACTTCATTTAATTCATAAAATTAGAATTACCATCAGTATTTAGAAGATCTTTAGAATTACATAGATCCTTCGTATTTTCAGAATTCGCAGAATTCTCAGTATTTTCAGAATTCTGGATTAAGAGATTGTTATATTGTGACTTCATTATAACTATTCAATTGTTTCGTTGATAACAGAAAAATAAAATAAAATAAAAAAATAAAAAAATTAAACATATGATACGAAAAGAAAAACAAAATTAAATGAACAATACAAAAAAAATGAAATTAAAATGATAAGAAAAAAAACTGAAAATTTTATTGCCTTGCAGACTTTGCAGGCATATTATGATTTCACAGTCTATTTCAGTTTTGCCTTATAGGTTCATCATAGTTTTGCTTTATATTTCATCTTTACCTTGTAATAGGTAAATTACGATTTCTTCTACGAGTGTATCTCAATTCTAAAAAAGTAAATAATCTAAAAAATCATTTAAACATTTTTAATTATTACTTGTCCTATCCCAGAATTGAGCTCTGAAGAAGTCGTATAATCTTTCTATAGTATAAGTCTACCTCCTACCTCTTCTCGCTCTATTTTGATAATTGCAAAAATCTTAAAAAGTATTAATTATACTGTTAAGTTATATTTATCATTATATTGTTATTCATTTATTTACTTACATTGTAATTTCATACTAAATTCCTTCATTTTAACTCGCATTAGTGAATTAAATATGCTGTATCATATCTTTAATTGATTCATCAAGCTACACTCCTCCAGAATCCCATCTTATTGCCTCTATATCTTATATGATACTCTTCGTTTCTCCTCTTTTTTTTTATCAATTAATAAATCGATTTCATTATTCTCCCAAATGATTCTTGTAATCATTTTTGTATTTATAAAAAAATATGATTTAAAGGAGTAAATTAAAGTGATTTAAAGGTTGATTTAAATTTCAAAA